CATCAATGCTCGTACAAACTGGTTCGAAGCAGTCTGCTGCTCGTCCAAGTTAGCCTGAAAATAGGAAACAAAATGCAGTTGGAGAGGGGGAACATGAACAACACTGGAAAATAAGAGCACGCACAAAATGTTCAGGTCTGAAAACACTCTGTACTGCCTCACACACACCTCGATCCAGTCTCTGATGCGTTGATTGTTGGCCTTGTCCTGGAGGAGTCTGTCCAGCTGTTTGCTGATCTCCTCTCCGCTGAGGACCTTCTTCTTACTGGCCTCTTTGGGCTCCATCTCCTCTCCCACGGTGAACTCCACTTTCTGAAATACACAATTAAATGTGTAAAAAAAGGAAAAAAGCCTGAAGACACGGAGTAACTTGTTTCTAATCGTAAATCCCCACAAGCAAAAATCTCTCTTGCTTTCATCTCTGCCCACCAGGTAGACTCCAGCTGTGTTTGTCTGTCTTTGGTGCTGTGCAGGATGTGCTGCTTTCTCGTTACCATTTTAAGCTTTGTTGTTACAAAATAGACCAATTATAGCTGCTTTAAACGTATCCTAACATTTTTAGACTACTAAACAAAACTCAAAAAGTGCAGACAAGTGTTTTATCATCTAAAACCTGAACGTGTTGCACGTACCTGATCGGTGACAAACTTGTTGACGTCTTCATCTTTGGGCAAGAAGTCGTTCCAATTTAGCCCAGCCTCTGTCCACAAAGCCCCGACCTTATTGGGGGTCTTAAGGGGAGAAAAGGGCCAGATAATCAAATATCTGTGGCTTTTATTTCTTTTTCTTTCTCTCTTTTTTTTTTTTTTAACCAAAACCAAAAAACATGTGCAACACAAGGTAATAAAACGAGTGTGTTCGGTTACCTTTTCTTTACAAAGCAACTTGAGGATCTGTACCAGCAGCACGCTGGCCTTCCCCAGAGGCACAAGAGGCTTTGAGATCTCCCTGAAGACACAGATGCACTGAATTAAGCTCCCACTTTTCTTACAGCTGGATTATAATTCAGTTTATCTCATTTTAAAGCTGGAAATAAGTGACCTAGTTTTAAATTTAGCTTAAAATCTTTATTTCCGAGAAACACCGTCAACAAAAGAATCTCTGGAAAATGATTCCAACACTATTTACAGTTTAAAAACATCCATTTCCATCAGACTATATTCTAAAGTCAAAGTATTCGAGTTTGCTTTCACTTATTTGAAATGTGACCGCTGACATTAAGCTCTCACCTGAACAGCTGTCCCATAGGGATGCCTCCCTCGTGGAGCATAGGAGTAATAAGCTCAGCCAGGTAGAGCCAGATGTGAGGTATATCTATGGCCATGTCTTCTGCTACCTCCAGAATCTCTAGTAGCCTGCAAAAGAATCGGCTTTAGTTCCATCTGCTCGAGAACATCCATCGAGGGTAGATTTTAGTTGAAACCAGGCGGCGTTCTTCCTGTTACACGCTTACCCTTTGTAGTACTGCTGCGTGGGCAAAGTCCCTGCCTTTATAAGCTGGTGCAGCAACAGGCCCATGTGTTCCCGAGCGATGGTGCTTCGTTCAAGCGTCGACTCCAAGCCGTTCCGCACGAACACGTACAGCAGTGATGTGCTGTTGAGCTCCACCACACACTGCAATGCCTCCTGCAGCACCAGAGTGACACAAAGCAATGCTGTTAACACGGTTCACTTCTAAACATGGAAGTACAACTCTGATTGTTAGAGGCAAGTCTGCACCTTGACATCATTGATGTGGAGGTATTCTTCAATGATCGCATGCGACTTCTTCTCCACTTCCTCTTCAGTCAAGGCAGGTTTAGGGAGAGATGGAGGAGGAGTGGGAGCGCTCTCACGCTTAACTGAAGAAAAAGGTAAAAATACAACTTGAAGCTCATTGTTCTTTATGTCCTTTTCTTTAAACCACATCTTTCTCTATTCAACTCTTTTTAATTCTTTATTTCATACCTGGGACGAAGTCACTACCCTTGTCCCGACTTCCTCTATCTCTGCTTCCTCGGTCTCTGCTTCCCCGATCCCTGCTTCCTCTGTCCCGACTGTCTGTCATGCTGGCGACGCGGCGCACAGATTCAGTTGAAGACCTGCCATCTCCTCCCCTCCCGCCGCGCTCTTGCGACTCTCTGCTGAAGCTTCTCTTGGTGACTTGGTTCGCTTCCCGTCCTTCGCTGCGATCAAATCTGTCAAATCGATCCCTGTTGCGGTCGCTCCTGTCCCTGTTGCTCCCACGTTCGCGGCTCGAACTCGACCTAATGGTAAAAGGAGACACAAAGAGGTCATTTTAAACACACTCAATCAATTTGTAATCATGTACCACTAAACTTTTTGTATTTTTTGAGACCGCAGTAGGCTCTTGTATACAAAGGGGAGGCCAGATGGAGGAAGATTAGTATTCAAGTGGTCGCCATCTGCAACCTCACAACTAGATGCCAGTAAAATGTGTTTTGAAAAACGTGACATCAACATAAAGTAAAAAATAAGAGTGCCTATGACAAGTGATAAACTAAAATTTGTGAATCAAGTACTCAACTAAAGCAGAAGCAGACTAATTAATGAGAAAATATTTGTTGCTTCTGAGTACCTTTGAGGAACTCTGCGATCAGAGTCTGTTGCAGACATCAATGACCCAGACTGTAGGGCAGAGAAGCGGTTGAGAGTGCTGGTACCCGGACGCCCAGAGTCTAGAAAGATGGAAATGAATAGATTAAGAGCCAAACCACAAACAGCCACTAAGCAATGCTGTGCTTTAGAAGAAAGCTGAAGGTCTTACCCTGGTCTCCACTCGCTGGTTTAGCTCCAGTTCCTCCGCTGCTGCCTTTTCCCCAGCTGCCCCACATGCCTTTGCCACCCGGAGCCAACAGCTGGTTGTTGAAATCCATAGCACCAGGCTACAGGGAAACAAAAAAGTTATATTCATTCTCAAGAGGCCTGAGAAAGAGCTCAAGCCTTCACATGAATTTTCGGACGTTACCTTTGTGATCTTGCTTAGGCGGGTGGTGTCGATGGGTCTGTTCTTGGAGATGGGGACTGTGTTCCACCCCTCATCCTGAGGCTGGCTGGTCCGGCCACCTCCTGGTGTGTGAGGGCCTCGGCTGCCCATGTTTCCCGTGAACCTGTCTCTGCTTTCCTTCTTGGTCATGAGCTGCTGCTGGACTTTCATCTGTTCCCTGTGCTCCTCCATCTCTGCTTCCTTGTGAATCTGATCAATTGTCTTAGGACCCTGGTCTCCTCTACGAGGCACCCAGTTATTCTGTGGATCAGAGACAGAAGACAATTAACACCTGTGAGCCACTCTGGGGTGTTTCCTGTCTTGTGTTTTGGATTACATTTGTAATAGTACAAATGTTCTGATAGGAGAACCTGAGACAGAAAGCATATCCACCCTTAATAACACAGTTTTACGTGCGTCAAAGATTTTCCTTTTTAAGCCCTTTGTGACATAAAAGAAAAAGGGGAAAAAATGAAATCCTTGTTCTATTCTGCAGCTTCAGTATGATCAACATAAACCGCTTTCCAGTGTTCCTCCTGTTCACAGCAAATCTCTAGAGCGGAACAAAAATTGTCGTTGCCAACTGCAGGCCAAGATGTTGGAGATGAGATACTGAAAGGGCAAGCAGCTGAATGTTATCAAGAACCACCACACCAGTGACATGGCTTGATATCCAGCAGGTAAGGAAATATGAGAAGGAAAGAACTGGACCTAGGTGATTTGCAACGTGAACACCGTAAACTTTCAAAATAAAAGTCAGGGGTCTGCTTGCTGGCAAATCTATGCCTGATGATGCTGATGATGCCGTTCTCATGGACAGAAAAAAAAAATAAAAGTTTTTTCAAACTAACCCTTTACCCCTTTGAAGCCTACCAGCAGTAACCCTGACGCCATTTTCTGAACCGAGTACTCACTGTCTTATTTTAGCACTGCTTATAGAACAAAACAACTGGGTGCGCACCAGAAGTTTGTGAGTGTGGTCTCTGCTATGTAGATAGCCTTGTAAAAAAAAAAAAAAAAAAAACCCTTCAGACTGTACTGTATATAAACACTGAGATACATACACTACTAAGTCAAGTCATGATAAATGCTGCCTATCAGTTCTTTATTGCTCTAAAATGTTGAATATGATTTAACAGTTACCCTTCTGAGGTCCAAAACATCTTGCAGCATGAAGCGGATTCTTGATGAAGTCTTTCTCTCTTTAATGATCTTGTCCATCTGATTAAAATACTGATCCATGCGAGGCTGTCGGGGACACAGAAAAGAGTGAATTTTATGAGGTACAGGTACCAAATGACAAACTGTGTGTACCTAATGATACATCGAGAACTGCCTCCTCAGTTCCTCAACCCATCACTAATGATCAGTGGCCCAGACACGTGGCACAAAAACAAGGTCATCACAGGAGACATCTTAACATATAGCAGTGTTAGTCCATGCTTTACTTACCTTTGCCTTCTCAAAGTCCAGGTCTTTACCAATAGTGGACAGCAGTCTGCAGAGACACTCGAGAGACTCCTCATCATGATTCTTAAGTAGTTTCACGACACAGTCGTGCATGATTGGCTCTGTCAGCATCTTAAGCTTAAACAGTTCACCAATGAACTTTATGTTGCCCAGTGAGCGGCGTCGAGCTTTATCTCTGGCCTCCTCCAGCTCCACCCTGAAGCGCTCACGCTCCTCACCCTGCAGGCGGATACAAGTTTGTGCTTAGTGTACGAGTCATATGACAAGTTTACTCTAAATCTGAACGGTGGTTTTGACAGTTCTTACGTCTTTGGCAGCCTCCAATTCCTTTTGCTTTTTCTCAAAGATCTCATCATCATCCTGGTCCTTCTCAAACTCTTTCTGGCAGCGGTTGAGCAGCAGTTTGCGGAAGTTCACAAAAACTCCTGGCTTGTCTGAAGTGGGGACTTTCAGCTGGTGGAAGACAACATTCAATGTCACCAGGGGGTTTTAACACACGTTTTCCTATTCAACTGCATTTAACAAATATGTAGCTGAGAGTATGCTCCTTCAGTTCCTCAATACCATCACAAAAGTTCAGTGGCCCAGACACGTGGCACTAAAAAGAAGTCATCACTAGAGCATATGATCAAAGCACAACATCCAACCTTCACTAGACTCACCCCCATAAGGCAGCGGCACATGTTGGCGTAGGCCACAGAGAAGTTGGGCTCTGAGATGGCCTTCTCAAAGATGAGGTCGATGGCTCCCTTTAGCCTCTCCTCAGTGTCTATCGTCAGCTCTGTCACTTGTTTCATCAGCTCCTGAAACTTCTGTGGCGTAAGCTTGTTGAGGATGCTCCGCAGACGCTTGAACAGCTCTCGAGTCTTGGCCTGTTCTGGGTCTTCCTCTTCAGGCTCATCAACACGGCCACGAGTGACCTTTTTCACAGAGGGCTTCCAGGCCTTCTCAGCCTTGCTGAGCTGCACGTCGTCATTTAGCGACATGCTGGTGATAATTTTTTTGGTTTGAGAGCGACGGGGCCCGGATGGCTAAATGGAGAGAAACGCATAAATATTTTAAAAAGCTAGTAGGAAAAAACTTCACTAAACAAAAAGTTTACGTTAGAGATCGCTGCCTTTGCAAACAGCTTGTCTGCCAAACGTAACATCACAACTGCTGGCATTCATTGCACTTTTGTGTCATGTCAGCTCATAATACATCTCTTTATCTCAAAAAACATCAGACAAGTACTCCAGCACGTTGTAGGAAGACAGGCACAGAGGGAGATAGTTTTACTTCAGGGCATCACATCTCAAGTGCAAAAGTATAAAAACGGTGTGCTGACGACACACTTGGTAAACCTATTAACTATAATGCAAGTTAATGCTTAAAGTGTCTTTTAAAAACTGTAAAATTAGCTAACCGGGCCACGAGGTCCTCCCACTGATCTGCTCCCAAGGTTCCCTAAATATGAGGGAGTAAAATCAGGACCAGTGTTCATCAGGCGAGATGGGTCAGCAGGTCGTAGTGGAGTCTTGTTCACCTGCAATTAAAGAGGCAAAAATAAATAAAGGAAAAATCACCCGTGTTTTCACACAAAGTTTAAAATACTGGCAGTCGGCAGCACTACCCCTCAGCCTCCTAGTAGATCAACATATGGTATCAGTTTGAAAATCCTGACTTTGTTCTCGAGTTTTTGCATTCACAAGATTTTCAGGAAACTTCACCTCTGACCTTGAACTTTAGGACAAGGTCACTGAAATTCAAACTTGGGAGATTTTTAGCAGATGCACCTACTGATGTGAATTTCAAAATCCTACATCGCCTCATTATCGCATTTACACCCGCCCACTCGCTCGCTCTGTGTGGTGACAACTATACCCCGTCAGCCTTTAACAAAGCTGTGACGGCCCGGGACAACGCATCAGGTTACAAAAATCGGGAGTTGCACGACTGGCTGAAGCGCCTCAAAGATTGTGGTGCGCTTCATGATGTGAGGTCAAAATTTACAGATGAGGGGTAAAAAAAACCTGCCAAATTCTTCAACTCAATTTGTATCGTTTCTGCGTTCTTTTACACAAAGCTCAACATCACCTACCTTATCCAGCACCACATCACTGATGATAGGCAGGCCCTCAGGCTTGTGCATACTGGCGCTGATGAACTGGCAGCCCAGGAGGAACTCCCTGTCGTACCGCTTCTTGTCCTCCGGGTTTATTGGCTTCCATTCTTCTGCACAACGTACAGGAAATATGCAAAGGCACATGATTAAAGGCACACTACAGTAAAGGCACAGCTGAAAGATGGCTGTGATAATCCACTCTGTCAGTGCAGATTCTTTGAAACTCAAATAATAAAACGATGACGGCACATGAGCAAAACTATGAGAGAAACTAAAGTCACCATAAAGAGATATTCACACTGTGCTTAAATCAAACAAGGCCTCATCCTTCCAGCATATAAATGCAGGCACAAGGAAAAAACAGACTTAAAATTGAATGCTGAAATAAATTATATTTGCCCTAAGACCAAAGTATGTACAGAGTTTTATCAGTTTAGCTTTAGGGAAAAGATTAAAACATTTAAAGATTTTTTTAGCCTTTTAAGCTTTCAAAGCGTACCTTGTTTGTACTGGTATTTCTGCTCAGTTGGCTCAGGTGTGGCTTTAGACTTGTCAGGTTCTGCATTCTGCTTGTCCTCTTTTTGCTCCCAGGTCTCATCTGCCACTTCGACAGGAAGTTCAGCTGGTGCTGGAGCTGGAGGGTTGGCCTGAGTGGGCATGGGTTCAGAGGCAGGCTTGGCATCCTGTTCCTGCAAAAAGAAAGAAAAGATCAAGTTTTCTAAGAATCTGTTGTTTATTGAGAGTAAAAGATGGACACCCAGTTTAAGAGCTCTTTGGACTGTCATCTGATTTAACACAAACCTCTGTGAAGGCATCCAGGAGATTCCCAATGGCCTCCTTCTTGTTAAACTCTTTCATGTTCTTTTTCTTCCTTTGCACATGCGTAGCAGCTTCAAAAGGAAAGACAAAGTGATGACATTAAAATTCAGATAAAACAAGATTAGGCATGTGACAGCCTGAGAAGCAAAGGGGGGAGGGGGGATTAACTGTACCTTGCATAGTAGATTCTTCTGGGCAGCTAACAGACGCAGGAGGGGTATCCTCACTTTTCTTCTTGCACTCTTCCTCCTCCTTCTCTTCAGCCTCCTCTTTCACCTCCTGGGCTGCTGTTGCAGTTTTAGCCATAGGTGTGGATTCCTGAGATTGAGAAGCGTCTGGCTGTTTGTGGGGCGTAGTGTCTGAAATTGCATTATCCTTGGGCAGTTCTTCGGTCTCCTGAGGAAGGCCGTTGGGGAGAACAGGCTCTGCTGCCTCAACTTGTGTGGATTCAGGTTCGGGGGTAGAGCGCAGAACGGCATTCTGGGTCTGTGGACCAGCAGGCTCCCGTGCAGGTGGGGGAGGCTGGGAGACTTCAGTTGCCGTTTTTGTAGCCATTTCTTCTTTATTCTTTCTTTCTTCTTCAAGATTGGAAGAACCTGCTGCTGCAGCCTCAGCTGCAGGCTCCAACTTTGTGGTGGCCACCTGCTCTTCTTTTTCCACCTTCTTCACTTCCTCTGTTTTTGCTTCTTCCTTTTCTGGAGCCTTCTCAGCTTGAGCTGGAGCAGCCGGTAGTTCCTCTATTTTCACAGGGGCTTCTGGTGCTTCTGAAGACTGTGAGGTTGCATGAGGAGCATCTACTGTATCAGAAACAGTAGTGCCAACTTTATTTACTGCCTCAGCAGGAGTAGTGGTCGACGTTGCTCCTGGAGGAAGGGAAGGAGGAGACTGCTGGTCCTTTATCAGTGTGGATGGCACCTCAGTAGTAGCTACGGGGGCTACAGATTGTGCAGCTAACTCAGTAGGCAGCACTATTTGGTTGTCCACTTCCTGTTTGCTCTCCAACACAGGCTCAGCATTTGCCGCAGCAAGAGAAGGAGGGGTTTCAGCACTAGTAGGACGCTCTGTGTTATCATCTGGACAGCGAGAGACGTGACAATAAATGACGAGAAAAAATTTACAGTCATTTCTTTTTCACAGAGTCAAACTTAAGAAAATATTCTCACCTCTTCTCGTCTGTGCAATCACAGGCTGGGCAATTTCCCCATTGACCTGTGCAGGACTTGCATCCGGTGCCTGCAATCACAAAGCAATAGCGGCCTTTAATAAATAAAATAGAAAACCCACTACACGGGCTTTTAACAATGAGCATCAACACACATTTGGTGCAATTTGTTACAAGTTTTTTTCTCCTCACATTTGGTGAATATTGTCTGAGGTGGTATTGATTCAGACCTGTTTCTTTGAAGGCTGCAGTGTCACTCAACTCTTTTAAAAAGTGATTCGTTTGTGTTGCCCGTTTCCCCTCCAACTAGCAATTTTCAACTTTGGCAATAGCTCAACGCATCAGTGCATTTTTGTTTGCATTTGCTTAGACTCAGCATAGTTTGCTTAGTGAAACTGACCTCAGCTGTGCTGACTATTAGAAAGTACCATGAAGACAAAAAAGAAAACAAGAAAAAGACATCAACACAGTTGCAGATGTACTTAAAAAAAAAAAAAAAAATCCACAACGGTGCCTTTATGTACAGATAAATTCATATTCCTTCCTTTTTAAAGTAAGAGAAAATAAAAATAAAAAAGTGAGAGCAATCATCACCTAACAACATCTTCTTTTGTTGTCTTTTTATAACTTACCTTTGTTTTGTCTATATAAAGCAAAACGTTGGCTTCACATTGAAAAAAAATTACTTTGTTCTAAAGCAAATAGTGAAGTGAAGTGAAGACAAAATGAACATGAGAAAAACATAATGAAGTTCTGAGCTTTACTGTATTACTTTAAACACAGAGTACCACATGTCAGTACAAGATAGCCAACTATACTTTAGATTTCTGATAAAAGACAAATGTACAACACCATCATTACTCTATTTAAATCAGTCACTTCAAAGTAAAGTCTTACCTGTGGTGTCGGTGTGGTGGAGGACATTACACCCGACAGGATCTCGTGCGTGATATCGCGTCCACCCTGGTTGGGGTCTCGTATTGTTATCTATTAGAGAAAAGGCAAATGACATTAAAATACAAACAATGTGCAACCATCCTGCCACTACTGATCTACAGCTGCTGACCCCCATCATGACAAATACTATTGTTGTTTTCAGGTTAAAAGGGAAAGTTCCACATTGAACACACAATACAGTGTCTCTCCATTCAACATTTTTGACCTCATTCAAGAGGTGTGCTGTGCTTTTGTTGGGACATACTACCGGTCTGCGTTCTCTCTTCATTAGGCCTTGTGACTGTGCAGGGGCTTGCTGAGGAGGCGGGACTTGTAGCTGTTGCTGGGTGGACAGCATGACCGAAGGCTGGACAGATGGGGGATACTGAGGCGGAGTTGGATAGTATGCTCCAGCTGTAAAGTTGAAATGAAACAAAGAATAGAAATTACAAAATAAATCATAAAAACAACTCAGAATAAACAAGAGTTTTCAAGAGTTCAAACTAAAATAAAAATCTGTATGTACTTGTTTCACTTGATTGAGATTTTTTTTTCTACATTGCTGATAACTGTTGGGGGGGAAAATGTAAAGGTGCAATA